ATGTTAGGGATTGAATTTGCTTGTGCCTTGGAGCAAATCTGAATATATTATATGTGAATCTCTGTGAATGTGATTGAATCTCTGTGAATGTGATTATGTGATGAACTAGTAGCTGCAAAATAGGTATGTAAATGTTAGGGAACAGGGATTGAATGGAGCCACTGTTTGAATTTTGTTTGTGAAATGGGAATTTCATTATTAGGCAATTGTGAGACTGATAAGCAATTATGAAATTTATTTTGTGATTATTGATAGAAGGATTATTTTTCACTTGAATTGATTGTTTTATTTTTGTTGATTATTGTAGCAGTTATGGAAAAATATTTTAAGAGTAAATCTACATTTTCTTGTGATGGGCAAAATGTTAATGAAAGGAATATTCGAAATGAAAAGGATGAAATGAATGCTGGGGATGAAAGTAATGAAACTGATGGAGCTAATCTTGGGGATGTCCCGATTGAAACTAATGTCGAGGATGTTGGGGATGAAAGGCTTGAATTTGATGTTGCACAACTTCCTTCAGATCCTGGACTAAGAGTTCCAATACAAAATTATGATGTTAATGTTCGAGATGTAATTCGAAGAGCATATGTACAACGGGGTCCTTGTCAGCCTCGCAATCATGAATTTCCACCCACAAGAATGGGTAACAAAGATAGGCGATTTTGTGTGTCATGGTATAATGAGCATCCTAGTTGGTTGGAATACAGTATAGAAAAAGATGCTGTATTTTGCTTGTATTGCTATCTTTTTAGCTCAAGCGATAGTTCATTTGTTAATGGTGGGTTCTCAAATTGGAAAAGGAAGGAGATTATTAGAAAGCACGTCGGGGCATCAAGTAGTGCACACAATCAGGCTCGGACTCAGTATGAATCATTCAAAAATCAAGAACAAAACATTCAATCCTATCTCTTTAAGCAATCGCATCAAACTCGAACAGAATATCGAATTCGTTTGAATGCATCAACTGACTGTGTTCGATTTCTTCTACGACAAGGGTTGGCATTTCGAGGACATGATGAATCTGAAGACTCAAATAACCAAAGGAACTTTCTTGAACTACTGCATTGGCTGTGTGATCATAATGATGAGATTAAGGTAGTTGCATTGACAAATGCTCCTGAAAATCTCAAATTAACATCCCCACGAGTTCAAAAAGATATTGTGAGTGCTATTTCTTCTGAAATTCTAAACGTGATTATCAAGGATATTGGTGATAGCTTGTTTTCTATTATCATTGATGAATCTCGAGACATTTCAGTGAAAGAGCAAATGTCAGTTGTCATTCGTTATGTGAAGAGTGGACGCGTATTGGAACATTTTATCGGTGTTATACATGTTTCGAGTACAACAGCTATCTCACTTCAGATTGGAATTGATCAATTGTTTTCTACGCATAGCTTATGTATATCTAATTTGAGAGGTCAGGGATACGATGGAGCTAGCAATATGCGAGGTGAGTATAATGGTCTCAAAACACTTATTCTGAATGAAAATCCAAGTGCTTACTACATTCACTGCTTTGCTCATCAACTTCAACTAGCTCTTATAGCTGTGGCACAGAAACATCCAAAGATTGAAATTTTCTTCACTTCAGTACATAGATTGGTGAATGTTGTTGGAGGATCGGCTAAACGAAGTGATCTTATTCGAGAGAAACAAAGAC